CGTGCCCGCGCCCTCACGCTCCGGGCACGTGTCGCGCACGTGCCCGCGCTGGGACCACGCCCCTCCGGGGGGGCGGGGCGCGGAGCGGGGCGGTCTGAGGGGCAGCAGGGCTGGTCCTGGGTGCTGGGCTCTGGGTGTAAGAGGACCTCGGGCTGGAGTGGTGGACTCACGTTTACGTCCGCCGAGCCCACCGCCCGAATGCGGCGCGAGGGCCAGCCCGTCCATCTTTCTCAACCCCAACGTGCAGCCGAGGGCTTGTCGGTTCCGAGCGGCTTAGTGACTGACTCATGTTTATGTCTGTCGAGCCCACCGCCCGAGTGCGGCGCGGAGGGCCAGCCCGTCCATCTTTCTCAACCCCAACGTGCAGCCGAGGGCTTGTCGGTTCCGAGCGGCTTATTGACTTATCCAGGGTTGCTCAGGAGTTAGCCGCACTTGGGATTCGGATTCAGACAATCTGCGTTAGAATCCCGGCGTTGCTCCTTCCTGGTTGTGTGACCCTAGGCAAATGACTTTAGCTCCCTAAGCCTCGATCTTTTGTAATATGTAATTCAAGGACGATGTTTTCATTCATGGGCAAGTACGCGTGAAGTACCTACTATGCGTCAAGGCGCTGCAAGAGGCTTTGGGAATCTAACGGAAGGAAAAGCAGACATAATTCCTGCCTCATTAAACTTACTGGGAAAGGAGAAGGGCAATAAGTAAACGCACCAATACTCTCCTACTTCGAAATGGGAGGCTTAATTAAGAAGGAAACGAACATCCTGTCCTGATGTTTAAAAAATGTATGTTTGTTATCTATTTCTGTACAAACAACAGTAAACTTATGACAATATCTGACAATTGAGAGTTCCTAATTAAATGCCTAGTAGTGTAATTTATTAATGTTGGTGTGCAGAATAAGATCTTATAAAACGAGAAAACTCACGTGTGTCTTTAACGCCTACTAAGCATCAGGCATTACATAAAGGGGGAAGAATCTTTTTGGGAAATGTGTTTTTCTCATGAATGGTGCAATCGGTCCCTGAGGACTTGAGGTTTTCCCTGCGTTTTCGGGTCAGCTGGCGGGGATATATGAACCAAGCGCCAGGTCACACTAGGCAGCAAGGTATTTATTCCGTCATTTTGACCTTCTCCAGATGGCGCCAAACCCTTAACTAAGTCATCACGCTCGCTCCCGGACTTCCGCTAATGGCCCCACTTCCTGTCCAAGGACCCCATTCTGTCCGAAGTGAGACGGAACACACGCCGTGTTACGGAGATGGTTGTTTTTCTCAAGAGAACTTTCACAGGTGTATAAAAATAACATGACCTGCGTGTATTTAGAGATTTTCCCCGTCACCCGAGGCTCACATTTCCCTTTCAGGCGGCAAGACAGCGAGGTTTTTGATCAGGCGCGCGCCGCAGACAGCCTCTACCTCCAGGGGTCTTAGGCGGCCCAGGGCAGACCCGGGAGTCGCTGGAAGCGCAAGATGGCGACGGCGGCCGCAGCGTCGGCTTCGGAACCCGAGACCAATCCCAAGGCGGGGCCCGAGGCTGAGGGCGAGGAGGACGAGGCGAAGGCGGACAGGACGAGGAGGAAGGTGCTAACGCGCGCCGTGGCCACGGCGGCCTACAAGGCCATGGGGCCTGCGTGGGACGAGCAGCGGGAGGAAGGCGTGAGTGAGAGCGATGGAGACGAGGAGTTCGCCATGGCCTCCTCGGCGGAGAGCTCCCCCGGCGAGGACGAGTGGGAGGACGACGAAGAGGAGGAGAAGAACCAGCTGGAGATTGAGCGGCTGGAGGAGCAGGTGCGCCCGGGGGCGGGCGGCGGGGTCCCCCTCTCCCCAGGTTCCGGGCCTGACCCTCCTCCTCCTCCCGGGTCCGGAGCGGTAATGAAGCCGCCGGCCGGGGCAGCAAACCCGCTATTCACACCGCAGCTCCCAGCGTTGCGGGCGCTTGCCTGGGGCTGTGCGGGCGGCATCCCATGGCAGCCTCGCCACGACCCAGGGAGGCGGTAATGTCCCCGGTTTTACCGAGGAAACGGAGGTTCTCTGTGGAGGGACTTCTCCGGCGTGAGGCTACACTTCCTGCAAGTGGGGGCCACACTTGCCCTCCTACCCACCCCGGGGAGCTACGCCCCGCAGCAGAAACACCGCTCCCCTCGCCAGGAGGAGTTTCCCTCTAGGGAAGGAACGGTGATGCGGGACCAGGGGGTAGGAAAGGCGGTATCGACCTTGAGGACGGTCGTAGGAATGGAAAGGTAGGGGTTTCGGCGTCCGGAGGCTGAGGCCCGGCTGTGTGTGCTTGGCCGGGTTTTTATTTATTTTTTTATTGATTTTTTTTTACAGAGAAGAAGGAAAGATAGAGAGATAGAAACATCAATGAGAGAGAAACATTGATCAGCTGCCTCACATTTTACTGATTTTTTTACAGAGAGGAAGGAGAGGGATAGAGAGTTAGAAACATTGATCAGCCGCCTCCTGCACACCTCCCACTGGAGATGTGCCCGCAACCAAGGTACATGCCCTTGACCGGAATTGAACCTGGGACCCTTCAGGTGTTCCAGGCCGACGCTCTATCCACTGAGCCAAACCAGTTAGGCCCAGAAATCAGGATTTTAAGAAGATACCCAGGTGATTCTAATGTGCAGCCAAGGTTGAGAACCACTGATCTAACCTGTTAACTCTGGTGCGGTCCGGGGTCCCAGCAGATATAAGTTAGGATAATTTGCGTTAAGGTTAATAGAGGGAGGGACCACCGTGTTTGTGAAGGTGGGCAGGGAAATGGGGAGGGGAGGTTAGCATCCCAGGGCTGGTCACAGCAGGACCTGTGTCCGTCTTCAGGCCTGAAGAGGGGAGGGGGGACCGGTATTTTGAAAGGTGTGGATAGGGCGCCTGAGGAGCCAAGGCCTTTGGTCAAGGGGTGCAGCCCCGGTTTCCAATCGGGGTTGGGGTGGGAGGAGGCATACCCTGGCCTCCCTCTCTTCCTCGCTCCAAGCATCTGCTGGTGCCTGCTGCTGGGCAAACCCTGCTGGAGGAGAGAACCAGAGACCCATCTGTGTGGTCCGGCGGGTTGGGGGGCGGGGGTGCCGTGAACTTGAGACTCGTCATTCTCACGTGCAAGTTATTTCAGTTTCAGAGCCTATGGCGTCCCAGTTGTTAAAGTGAGGGTTGTTGTAGTGTCGCCCCCCCCCACACACACACACATGCAGGGCTGTTGTGGACCGTAAGTGACAGCGTGTGTAAAACTGCTGGCAGAGTTTTACACATAGTAGGTGCCATGCAAGGCCTCCTTTCACATGTGTCCTTTCACAGGCCTCTGTTATTTCTCCACCCCCCGCTCCAGGTCCAGTTTGTGCCGTTAGGGAGTTAGGAAATCGGTTAGATCAGCCTGTGCAGGAGCTAAGCCGCCTCCTTGTCAGAGGTCCTTTGTTCATGAAGTCCTGGGACGGGAATAGACCAGCGTGTGCACTCACTCGTCAGTGCGGAGTGAGCTCTGTGAAGATGTCTTATAAGTGCAGCTCAGCATACATTTCACGTACAGACTTTCAGAGCACCTACTATACATGCTATCGTCATTTGGCTGGACATCAGAAATTTAGACCAAAAATCACCCTAGAGGCAGTTCTCTATGTCGTGACTTTTATACCTTTGTCTTCTGAATTACACATGGCACTCGTGGAGGGGTGTTTGCACAGGCCTTCCTCACACCAACCGGTAAGGGCTCTCCCACCCTCTCCAGGCTCAGAAAACACATTCAGACTCAGGGAAGCTGTGAGTCGGTGGGGGACGGGGAGAGCCTAGGATGTTTTTTAATGAGGAAAGCACATCTTTCACAAACTTTTTTAAACTCTTGTTACTTGTGTGCCACACTTGACAGTCAGTTTGGAACCGTCAGTGTGTGGTGACAGCCACTCAAGCTTATCCTGGTGCAGGTGAGGACACAGAACCAGGGGAGACGAGACCGTGTGTGTCCTGGCCTCGTCCAGCCCTGTCGAACCATCACATAATCATGGATGGGTTCGGCTTGTCAAGCTTTATAAATCACGTGTAAGAGAACCTTGCTACAAGTCTTTTAAGGTTTTAAAAGAATCAGGTCGTATTCTTACTGTTATTGATTCTTCTTTGTGAATTGATACATATACAGTTCACATCTGCAAATTAGAAAGTATGGTAATCAAATGAACACCCATCGCCCGTCTGCGGGTTAGAGCTGCATGGGTACTGCTGCATGTGTCTTGGGCGCCTCCCCTGTCCCAGTCCTGCCTTGCCCCTTCTCCCGTGCCCCCTCCTAAAACCCAGTAACTATGTTCTTGAATCTTGTGTTTCCTTCTGTTGGCAAACATAGTTTTATCACTCAGGTATGTGTCCTTAAGCAATGTGATGTCCACTTTTGTTTGTTTTTGAGGTTTTAAAAAGGTACATCATGTTATACATAATCTTCTGGGACTGCTTTCCACCCAGCAGTGGGTTTCTAAGGTTCATTCATGTTACTTGTCATCACAGTTTATTCATTTTGACAACTGTTTGATCAGTTCTAGCATTTGGATTGCTATAGTCCCCCCACCCTCATTACAGACAGGCTGCAACAAAACATTGTTTCTGTTGAACTGTGCTACTGTTGAACATGTGTAAGAGTTTCTCTGCATTGGTGTTTTTCCAATTTATTTTTTTGCATCTGTGTTTTTCAGACTGGGGTCATGGTCATGGGTCATGAATTCAGTGTGACTTTCCTGGTATTTATGTTTTACCACTGAGTGAGGTGTGGCAATCTCCCTTCCATTTATGCTCCTTTGCATCCCTGCTTTTTAAATATCATTGTTTTGGGTTTCAGGTAGTCTTACTAGTAAAACATTTGCTGTCACATACAATTTAGAAAACACGTAAGGAGAAGGATAACTTATATAGGGTGTCCCAAAATTCACGCAAGAATTGCAAATCTTGCGTGAATTTGGGACACCCTATATCTTACTGCAAACACAAAAACTTTGTTTCTGTTCTTAAGTATATTTTGGCCAGGTATTTAGTCATTTCTTTTTGTCTTTCATGTTGAGAGTTATTTCCTTTCTTTTATTTAAACTGGAGAGTTATCCTTGGATTCCTTAAAAACATATACACAGACATTACTAATAAGAAAATGTCAATCAAGCTATATCATAGATTAAAACAGAAAAACAAACCTTCCAAACATAATAAAAGGACAAATGTCTATTTTTCAAAAGCATACCATTTCCTTCCTCTTTTGAAGAACTTCCTTTAGCTATTCTTTAAGAGTGTAAGTCAGATAGTAACACATTTTTATAGTTTCCTTTTGTCTCAGATGTATGATAGCTTTTTAAGCACTTAATTTATTGTTTAAATTTTTAGCTTGAAAAGTTTCAGGTATAGAAATAGACCTTTATGTGCTTATCACTCAGCTTCAGAAGATATCAATCTGTTGTCATTCTTATTTCTACCAATCGGGATTTTTTATTTATTTAGTAGAAGAAAACTATTACCTATGTGCCTGGCATATGCTAAAGCACGTTACTAAATTATGTTTAAAATCCTCACAGGAACCGTATGAGTCAGAAAACAGTGATTTCCCCATTTAAAGGTGAGGAAATGGAGGCTTAGGACAGTTAATAACGAGCCTAACGCCACACTATTACTTATTTGCTTCGTTAGAATGTTTCCTGTATTTCAGAGAGAACCAAGTGTGTGCTGACGGGAATTGTGACGGACGTGAGGGAACTTGTTGTTATTATAAAAAGCCTCTTGTATTGATCTTTTTTCTTCCCTTTCCTGAGGTTTCATTTCTGTTTCAGAGGCTCTCCCAGGTAGCACATTTATTTTGTTTGTGACAGACGTGTGCATTGTCACCAGTGGTAAAAAAAAAAAAGCTAAGTTATTATTTTGATGATGGCATTTTAAATTTCACCGGCTGTCTTTTTTCCTTTTAGCTGTCTATCAACGTCTATGACTACAACTGCCACGTGGACCTGATCAGGCTGCTACGGCTGGAAGGGGAGCTCACCAAAGTGAGGGAATGGAGGCTTAGGACAGTTAATAACGAGCCTAAGGCCACACTATTACTTATTTGTTTCGTTAGAATATTTCCTGTATTTCAGAGAGAACTAAATGTGTGCTGACGGGAATTGTGACGGACTTGAGGGAACTTTATGGTTATTATAAAAAGCCTCTTGTATTGATCTTTTTTCTTCCCTTTCCTGAGGTTTCATTTCTGTTTCAGAGGCTCTCCCAGGTAGCACATTTATTTTGTTTGTGACAGACGTGTGCATTGTCACCAGTGGTAAAAAAAAAAAAGCTAAGTTATTATTTTGATGATGGCATTTTAAATTTCACCGGCTGTCTTTTTTCCTTTTAGCTGTCTATCAACGTCTATGACTACAACTGCCACGTGGACCTGATCAGGCTGCTACGGCTGGAAGGGGAGCTCACCAAAGTGAGGGTGGCCCGCCAGAAGATGAGTGAGATCTTCCCTTTGACAGAAGGTAACGCCTCACCAGCCGGGCTGCTTTTATAGGCACCGAATTTGCAAACCATGAAGTTCTCAACAGCTGTAGAATATTATGATTTTAGTGATTTAATCTTATCTGGAGCCATAAACTTCTGTGCTTGATGCAGGCTTTAAGAATTGAGATTTTGTGACCTGTGCCAGGTTGTGTAAGATGAAACGCTTGCCTGCTGATGACTCGCACTACATTGCTGCTTTCAGACCGCCCTCTGGGGAGGGAGGTGGTAACGCAGGCTGTTGTCTTGTAGAGCTCTGGCTGGAGTGGCTGCACGATGAGATCAGCATGGCCATGGACGGCCTGGACCGAGAGCACGTGTACGACCTCTTTGAGAAAGCCGTGAAGGATTACATATGTAAGTCCCCGCAGGCCTTTTCCAGGGCGCCCGGCAGTGTCACCTGCATCAGTCTCTGCTGTCTAGACTGTGTTGTGGGATGCTGCTGCCCAGAAGACAGCATTCATCTAGCAATTAGGAAGATTGAGTTCATCTATTATTACTGTCTATGGTTTTCAGTTGAAGATATTTGGTTTTAAGACATAGGCATATCTGACTGTATTGCACTTAGCTTTATCGCATCTCACAGATGGTATTTTTTCTTTTTTGTTACAATTTGAAAGTTTGTGGTAACCCTGTGTTGAACAAATGTATCGGCACCATTTTCACCAACAATCTCAGATGAGAGTTAGCATTTTTTAACAAAGTTTAAAAAAATTAAGGTATGTACATTTTTAAAGACATACTCTATTGCACACCTAATAGACTACATTATAGTATAAACATAACTTTTATATGTACTGGAAAACAAAAAAATTTGTGAGATTGGCTTTATATTTCGATATTTGCTTCATTGGGGGTGGGGGGTGGGGAGGGGGCTGGAACCGAACCTGTAATATCTGAGGTTCATTTAAGTGGATGAATATACTCACACCCAGCACTTACCTGGCAGGAAGAATTTACATGGTAGTTCCAGATGACTAAAGGTCATCTTTTACACATTGAATAGATTTTTAGAAGTTTTGGACAGAATTTTTATTTTTCATATAAAAACCTTAAAACTTCTTTTTGAAATAATTCTGTATTTATAGGAAATTGCAAAAGTAGCACAAAGAAGTCCTATGTACTTATTTTGTCCAGTTTTCCCCAGTATTTTATAACAGTAGTATAGAATCAAAACCAGGAAGTTGCCCTTGGTGCAGTGCCTGTGTGTTGTTCTGTAGATGTTATCCATGTAGCTTCCGGTGGCCACCACTGCGCTCGCGGTACAGACCCTCCCCCACCACAGAGCTCCCTGGTCTCCGGGTGCAGACCGGTCAGCAGTGCAAGTGAAGGTGGATGCCCGACTTCCCCTTAAGTCCTTTCAGCCGTCCCTGTTGATGGTTAATTCTCTAAACATTGTCTCTACATACATTGGGGAACACATCAGTGCTGTGGACAAAACACATTAAAAAGCATTACAACACCCCCCCACCCCCCCCTTTTAATTAAGCCCTCCTTCCCCATCTGATTCTCCTCAGTCCTCACTCTGGGCACTTCCCCTGGAGAGCAGTCAGCACTTAGTAGATAGACTGTCCGGAGGGAGAGGATTTCTCCTGTACCTTTACCAGCCAAGAAGAAGATAAACTTTTTTACTTTTTATAATTCAAATAATGAAAATAATAGGTGTTTGGTGAATATAAAATTATACTGAATGTGTCTTTAAAAGCTATCCCGTGTCTTTGCTCAGGTGGTGCCGGCCCTGTGGCCTCTTAGAATCTCTGCGTTCCAAATGCATGATGTACCTCGTTTTCTGCTGGTCCTGTTACCCCCTTCTTAAGGTCTCAGAGTCATTAACAGTACCAGCCCTCTCCCTGCAAGGATCTTTTATCCTTCCGGGCTGCCTGTGATGGTTCTCAGTCCCTTAGGGTTTGTAGTCCTCCCTGCTGTCAGGCCTCTGCTGTCACTTAGTGCTGATGACAGCTGCCTGCCCTTCCACCAGCTGCTCCAGGGCTGCTGTGGGTCAGGGACCAGGTGATCACGCTCCTTAGAGGATGTCTCATAAGTAGTTTCGAATGGGACCCCCAGGGGACGTTGTGTTATTTTCGGGAGCTTCAGTGTGTGCAAATTGCCACTTGTTTTGAATGTTCAGAAGCCACTTTGCCTGCTTTTTATTTTGTTGTCCTTTTTATTTATTTTTTTCTATTCTTTGTATTTTAGTATTTTTGTTTTTAACTGTTTTTTCATATTTGAAGATGCCAAGGATGGCCTTCCTGTGTTTCTCAGCATGTGCCACTCAGTAGTGGGGTGGTTGATGCTCCAGTAGTCGGAGATGGCTCGGCCCTTTGGCTCCTCAGAGGTTTTGAAAACAGGGTTCCTCGGTCTCGAGGAGCCTTGTGCGGAGGCTTCATGCCTATTTTGGAACTTGGGATCTAGTGACACCTTCTTTTGTTTGTCTCTCAGAGTCACTGTGGGCTCGGTACCCTTGGGTTTTCTGAGTTAAAATGCCGTTTCTAATATTTGCCCCTGTCTAGATTAAGTGTTGAGAGGGGCCATGATGTCATCTGTTGAAAATTACCTTCTCTGAGAGGAGGAACCGCTTCACAGACCATCTGTAAACTTGACCTCCCCTCACTCAGGCCTTAACCTCCAAGAGCTAGATCATTTCCATTTTTTTTTTTTTTGCAGCCCATCTGGCAGCTCTTTATTGGTGCACGAAACAAAGTGGCTAAAGCTTTGGCTAAGTTCTTGAAGTAAACCTGCCTCAGGAAAACATGGTCATCCTCAAATTGGCTTCTGTATCTAGTATTTTTATTTTACAAAGTTAGTGTATAGGCTTCTGAAATTATTTTCAGGTCTTTGAAAAGTACAGGCAAACCATGTACAGTAAGAACTGATGCATTCATGAAGATCTTTCATTGGTCTGGTCTTAAAGTTGTGGGAGTGAGTAGATAAAAATTTAAAAAGAGTGAAAGGAACAAAGCAACCAAGCCTTTTTTTGTCACTGTTTAAAAGTCATTAAAAACAGAGATTTTAAAATACAGATTTCTATTAACAGTATTGGTGCTTTTAATGTTTTTCATTTTGAAAAATTCTAGGCTTTGAAATCTTTCTGAAGATTGACTCAGATTCTTAACTATTTTCATTGAAATCTATCACTGAGTTTCTTCAGTTTTAATAAATAAGCTTTATGATCATGGTCTTTTTACATATTACCTCTTGGCATATATTGTTTATTCAGCAACATCTCAACGAATATACCTGCTATGAACATTGTTTAGGTATACTTTCTTTTTAGCCTGCAGCATTAGTGTAGGTGAATTGGGTTGCATATTGATGATGCTCTTACCTTTTTGCATGAATGAGTACTTTTTTGGTGGGCACATTTCTTTTGTTATGCCTCATTTTTGATATTTGGGTGTCTCATGTTGTGAACTAACAGAACTCTCCTCATTTTTAGGTCCAAACATTTGGCTAGAGTATGGCCAGTACTCAGTCGGTGGGATTGGTCAGAAAGGTGGCCTGGAGAAAGTCCGCTCTGTGTTTGAAAGGGCTCTCTCGTCTGTCGGCTTACATATGACCAAAGGACTGGCCATCTGGGAGGCTTACCGGGAGTTCGAAAATGCGATTGTGGAAGCTGCCCGGGTGAGTTCCCCGCCTCCGAGACCAGTGCTTGCCTTTTGAATAGTCGGGCTGTCTGTGTAAGTGCTCTTGGAAGGACATAGTTAATAAAATGGTCTTCGCCAATTCCCTAGTGTGCGGGCAGATAAATATATGACATAAAAAGTCTTTTAGACTAGCAAGAATGATTTCTTACACATGACCCTACAATTTGTTCTTGATACTTAAAAATCCTACTGCTTTAGTTACTGGCTCCAGAATAAAATACAAAATAACCATGTCACTACCCCTTTCCTACCCCCTCCCCCCAAAAATGTCCAGTAGTAACTGTGAGAGATTTGACTCCATCAGAATTGCAATTTTTAGACGACTACTTACAGAATTTTACTGTCCCTCTCCACTGTGTTTGTGTGTGTGCACACAGTTACTGATACACAGTGAAGCCCTCTAATGTTTGGTTGTTATTGTTAAAGTAGCCCAGTTCATTCTTGAATTACGTCCCTGTTGAAAAATCGGCAGTGCTGCCTTCATCTTTACCAAGCATTACCTCATGTGTAAGAGGTCATAATTTTTTTTTCTTTAGTTTGAAAATGTGTTGAAGTTTTTTTTATGAAATAATTTTGAGGTAGGAAGGACCAAAGTTTGTCATTTACTACAAATTTACTTCTTTAGCCCATGGCTGGCTTCCTTTCCCCTTTTGACCGGGAACAAACCTTTGATTCACAGCTGGAGAAAGTGCACAGTCTCTTCCGGCGACAGTTGGCAATCCCACTCTACGGTAAGACAAGAGCCAGCCCTTCGTGATTTTTAAAATGCTTTGGGGTATGTCATGTGATTCGGCCTTTCCCAGCATCCCATGAGGCAAATGTGGCTGGTGTCCTTACTCTCACCGGACAGCGTGACTGTGGACGAGTCCCTTGGTAAAGTGTATCTTGAATTATTAATGCTCAAGTTAGTTATGAGGGTCAGAGGCAGGAAGTCCCAGTCGTGTGGACATTGTTGGAGAGGCAGAGAGGGGGCTCTCTGTCTCTGAAAGGAATAGCGAAACTGACTCCCTGCATTTTCTGGGGAAGCTGGATTGAATTGGGAACATTTTCTCTTGAGGAGTACCCTCTTCCACTACCTGGGGAGTTTATGTGGGCCTGGACCATTCCTTGGTGGGGTGATCTGGTTCAGGAGCACCATGGGTCACAAGTATTCATACCTGAATTTCCTGGGGTTTGGTAAGGATTCTCCTTTTTTGGGGAATATATATTGGAAAGCCACGCCTTTGAGGTTCTGGAGCTGGAGCATGAGCAGCACTGGGAGGATTTTTCCGAGCATGGGAAGAGTTTGGCGCTGCCATCTTGTTTGTTCCCTAGACCTGGTGTACTGTGCACCCTCAGAACCTCTGGATAACTTCACTTGAGCCCGGAAGTTATTTCTCATTTTACTTCACAGCTTACTTGGATTTCATTTAACAAATCATAGAGTCTCTCCAGTTGAATCTTTGGGTGACATGCAGAAAAGGCTAGAATGGAACTGGCTTGTAGATTTCATCTCATCCCAGTTTGAGGCAGCCTAGCATAGTGAGTAGCGTTCAAACCCTTGCTCTGCCGTTTCCTGTGGACAGTGCAAAATGGGGATCACAGTAGAACCCACCTCATAGAGTTGTGAGGATCAGATGAGTTAATGGCTATGATGACTTAGAACCTAGGAAGTGCCAGGTAAGTGTTAAAGCTTTGCTATTAGTTCCATGAATTCTGATTGATTAATTGGTAGGACTGCCTGGGATAGTATTTTGAGACAGAGTCTAAGGCCAAGTGTGAGCTCAGCAGGAGAGCTCAGGATTTGGTCAGTAAGAGCTGCTATGGCCACTGATGTGGGAGGGGTTAGTGGCATTCGACTCTCATGGTTTAATCTATGTTTGGATTCTTAAGATCCAATTACAAGACCCAAGGGGCTGAATCCATTTTTCAATAGATATGGAGGCAACATTTGCAGAGTATGAAGAGTGGTCGGAAGACCCAATACCCGAGTCGGTAATTCAGAGCTATCACAAAGCGCTACAGCAGTTGGAGAAATACAAACCTTACGAGGAAGCACTGGTAAGTGTTGGCTGCTTTTACAGTAAACTTCTCTCTATAAGCTTTTCCCTGATCGGTAGTTGCAAGTAAAACAGTTTCTTTAAAACTTGTTTTATTGTGAAATATATAGAGTGTATAAATGTATATTACAGTTTACATACTAATAATAAAGTGAACATCCATGTACCTACCACCCAGGTTAAGAAATAGAACATTGCCAGTACCTTAGAAGTCTCCTATGTGCCCCTCTCCGATTGCCTCCTCTTCCCTCTCCCGAGAGGTAATCACTTTCCTGACTTTTGTGATACTCATTCCCTTGCTTTTCTTTATAGTTTTACAACCTGTGAACGTATCCTTAATTAATATATTGTTTAAAGTTTCTTAACTTGTATATAGTGGAATCATGCTGTATATTTTTTTATTCAACCTGATTTGGGGTTTTACTCATTGATAAGTATAGTTACAGCCCATTTGTTTTGCTATAAAGTTGTCTGTATATAAACAATCTATCCATGTTCTTAGTTGGGTTATTTCCAGTGTTCTGCTAGGAGCCACAGCGTTGCTTGGACATTGAACATATCTCTTGGACACAGGGAAGAGAGTTTCTCTAAGTGTGTACCTAGGGATGGCACTGTTCTCCAGGTTGTCAGTTTACACGCCTCCAGCAGCACCTGGGATTCCTCCTTGCTTTTGTTACCTTGAATATCGACATACTTAAATTTAGCCAATCTGTTGAGTCTGAAACTGGTGTTCTAATTTGCATTTCCCTGATTACTAATGGGGTTGAGCATCTTTTCACATCGATTGGCCATTCAGACTTTTTTTGGTGAAGTGCCTCTTGTGAAAAGTGTCTTTGACACATTTTCCTTTTGGTTTATCTTTTTTCTAATTGATTTGTGGGGGTCCTGAAACTTAAATCTCCCTTTCGATTGTAGGTATTGCAGAATCCCCCCCCAGTCTTAATTTTAATGTACATGGGTTTATCATTCTCTTCCTCATTGTTTGTGCTTTTGTTACGCTTAAGAAATCTCTCTGTACTCCAAAATCATTAATGTACTTAGCTCTATTTTTTTCTGAAAGTTTATAATCTAATACTTTATGTTTAGGTCTCCATTTGGAGTTGATTTTTGTGTATAGTATGAAGCAGGGTCCAGTTTCATTTTTCCATATGGAGAACCAGTTGTTTCCGCACTCATTCTCTTAATTCACTCTCCCCTCACGCATGTGTAGCCGCACATCTGTCACAGATTAGCTGTCCATTTATGTGTGGGTCTATTTCTGGCCTCTTTGTGCCATCCCACTGGTTTACATTATATCTTTTTTTAAAAAATATATTTCTTTATTGATTTAAGAGAGGAAAAGAGAGAGATAGAGGGAGAGAGGAGAGAGGAGAGAGAGAGAGAGAAACATCAATGATGAAAGAGAATCATGGATTGGTTGCCTCCTGCATGGCCCCTACTGGGGATCAAGCCTGCATGTGCCCTTGGTCAGAATCGAACCCAGGACCCCTCAGTACATAGGCCAACGCTCTATTCGCTGAGCCAAACTGGCCAGGGCACATTATATCTTTTTAAAGATTTTATTTTCTAGTTGCTCCTAATATATAAAATGTAATTTGTTTTTAATTTTTTATCTAACTTGCTAGATTCTTACTAATATTAATAATTTATGCCCTGGCAGGTAGCTCAATTGGTTAGAGCATCATCCTGATACACCAAGATTGTGGGTTTGATAACTCTGGTTAGGGCACATATAAGAATCAACCAGTGAATGCATAAATAAGTGGAACAACAAATCCATGTTTTTCTCCCTCCCTCCCTCCCTTCCTCGCTCTCTAAAAATTAGTAAATAAAAATAAGTGATGGATTCTTTCGGATTTTCTGTGTTGACAGTAGTTGTGTTTTTTTATACAATATTATTTGTAAGTGGCATTTTTTTCCTTTTTCTTGGTCTTAGAATACTTTTAACTTCATTTACCGTTCCTCAGACTTAGTCTCTTATGATCTTGTATTTCTTGCCTTTTTGTTTGATCTACAGGCATCATTGTTCATTTTGCATCATACAGTCCAGTTTGTTTACATTTACTGCATGCATGTCCCGCTTTCTCCTTCCTTCCTGCGTCCTAGATTTTCCATCTGGAAGCACTTTTCTGCTGCCTGAAGTCTATCCTTTAGGCTCCCACACTGGACATTTGCTCGTAACGGATTTTCCAGATTTTCTTGGTTTTTGTTTGAAAAAGTTTAACTTTGTTGCTCTCCTTGAAAGTTCATTTCTCAGGATATAGAATTCTAGACCTACAGTTGTGTTCTCTCAGCAATTAAAGGTTCATTTTTGTCTTAGGCTTCTGTTGTTGACACATCAGGTGTCTGTCTAACTCTTGCTTCTGTGAAGGTAACCCTTATTTTTCCTCTGGTTGGTTTTAATATCTCTCTGATTTGTGTGATGTCCTACAATTTCATCACCGCAGGTCCAGGTGTGAATATCTTGTATTTATCTTGCCTGTGGTTTGTTGGGCTTCTTGGCTTTGATTTTGGTCTCTCTCGTGGCCTGAAGAATACAGACACTGAGAGCCAGGCTACCTCCAGTTTGAATTTTAGCTCTGCCGCTTAGTAGCTCTGATTTTGGGCTGGTACTTAGCCTCCTTGCGTTTCATTTGCCTTGAACAGTATGGGGGTAGTAATGATACCTGCCTCATAGGACTGTTGTGAAGATCAAAGTCTTAATATACCTTAGGCCAGCAAACGCTTAACCTTCACTTAACCACCTTCACTTAGATCTTGTCCTTAAATTTCATTTGCCTTGAACAATATGGGGGTAGCAATGATACCTGCCTCACAGGACTGTTGTGACGATCAAAGTCTTAATATACCTTAGGCCAGCACTTAACCACCTTCACTTAGATCTTGTCCTTAGTATTTCTTTACGAGTTTGTTGGTGATTTTCAGGATGCTTTTTATATTTAGTCCAGCAGTTTTAGTAGTTTTCAATGGCACAGTGTGTCTGGGTCACTAGTTTGTCATTTTTACGAGGAACTGCAGCTCTAAGACAGCTTTCTATGTTTAGAACCTGTGTGCTCTCTCGCTGGTCTGCATGTGCTCCCTCTCTCTCTCTCTCTCTTACATGTAAATGATTTGTATGTTATTTATTTCACAAAGCCTCATTAATGACAGCCTCAGCCAGTTCAGTTTTGTTTCGACTATCAGCAGAGTGTGGCTGAAAAGTTGAATAAGAGGGTTTTGTTCAAAAAGATTTTGATTGTACGTCTTTGGATCAATAAACATTCAGCATACCTCTTCCATCTTCTGCATGTACCTGTACTTGGCAGGGTGATTTATATGTAATTTATTTCACAAAGCCTCATTAATGACAGCCTCAGCCAGTTCAGTTTTGTTTCGACTATCAGCAGAGTGTGGCTGAAAAGTTGAATAAGAGGGTTTTGTTCAAAAAGATTTTGATTGTACGTCTTTGGATCAATAAACATTCAGCATACCTCTTCCATCTTCTGCATGTACCTGTACTTGGAAGGAGCTGGTATTTGGAATGAGAAACCTGAACTAGCACAAGGCACCGGATTACTCTAGCGTGGTTGCTTTCTCTCCTCCACTCAGTAGGCCATGGAAATAACTTCTGTTTTGGAAGGATGCCTTGCATTGGTCATTGGCGAGGGTGCTTCTCCTTCATTCAGTTCCTGATTTAAATTCCCGGTAGTCCAGGGATGGATTTAGAAAAGGGTTTGAGGAGCTTTTGTAGCTAATGCAGTGACGGGGCACTTTTGTGGGCCCTGATGTGCAGAGGTTCTGAGCGGGGATTGGTGGTTCTTGGAGTAGCCAGTCTCAGCAGAGTTGAATATGAGGATGTGTTGTGCTTCCTGACAGTATCGAGCAGCTCATTTCAACTTCTTTGCCGTTCTCCTTTGTCCAGTTGGAAGCAGAGGCTCCCAGGCTGGCCGAATATCAAGCATACATCGATTTTGAGATGAAAATCGGCGATCCTGCTCGCATTCAGTTGATCTTTGAGCGTGCCCTGGTTGAGAACTGCCTGGTTCCAGACTTATGGATCCGTTACAGTCAGTACCTAGTAAGATAACTCTTCTGATTTCATTTTACTTTTACCAATTTGGGCTCTATCTAAAGAAAACCAATAAGAGTGCTCGGAGTTAGTTGTATGCTGCTCATCTCTGTTCTCCTAATTTATCCTTCATCCTCCTTCCGTTTGTCAGGTCACTTAGGAAGTCCTCCGAGTGTTTTAGGATTACATAGTCTTAATATTGAAAACTTTATAACAGATTAAATTAAAAAAAATTTTAACCTTTTATTATGGAAAAATGTAATCACATAAATGTAGACAGATTAGTAAAATGCAACCTTATGTACCCATCACCAGCTTCAACAATGACCTAATGGCATTAATGTGGTTTCATCTATAACCTTACCTACTTTCCCCATTCCATGTTGTTTTATATTAAATCCAGAAATCACATTTCCTTGGTAAATAATTTCAGTATGTACGTATAACAGATTTGAATCAGGATCCAAACTTGATCTATACATTATTTCTGGACATTTAATCTGTAGGTTGCCCACTCCACCTCTCTTCTCTCTCACTCCTTTTGTGATTTCTTTGTTGAAGAAATCAGTCACAAGAGACATTTCTAAGGGAATTTCTTTTGTCGGTGGTTCTGGAAATGTCTCGTGGATGGTGAACTTTAAACCATAAATTTTTATCTCCTAACCCTGGAATTCTTTGTCATAGGACCGGCAGCTGAAAGTAAAGGATTTGGTTTTATCTGTACATAATCGTGCTGTTAGAAACTGCCCCTGGACAGTTGCCCTGTGGAGCCGGTACCTCTTGGCCATGGAAAGACACGGAGTTGACCATCACGTGATTTCTGGTGCGAATGTTTCTCTTGGAAGCCTTCAGAACTTGTACCAAGTCAGAGCTAGAGTTCTGAGGACGTCACTGAGTCAGCATTTCCCAGGGTGTTCCTTTGGGAGAGTGGGTAGTAGTGACAAAAAGGGCTCTAAGTGGGAGGTAAACTGGTTGTATTTTTGACTTCTTAGAGCTTTTTAACATGCTGATGTTTATTGTGATCTCCCAGGAGTCTTTTCTCCAAGCTTACTTGACCTGGAACTCTGACTGCCTTTTCCAGACACAGCGTGTGCCTTGCCGCAGGAGCTCTCCTCTTGAACATTTCTTTCTAGCTCATTGTATCTTATTGTGATGCTGAATCATATAGTATTTTATAATCAGTAAAGGTTTTTAGAATAATCTTGATGACTGTATATTTGTTTCTTTTTTCATTGGCCACAAACCCTGTCTTTTCTTCACCTCCAGTGACCTTCGAGAAAGCTTTGAGTGCTGGCTTCATTCAGGCCACGGACTATGTGGAGATTTGGCAAGCATACCTTGATTACCTGAGGAGAAGGGTTGATTTCAAACAAGGTATTTAAGTTCCTGTGCTTTATATCAGAACTGCTTTTCCTTAACATATCTTTTGGTGAGATGTTCTAGTTGCCCAAATACATTGTGATTGGGCAAATGTTATAGACCAGCCATTGGTTAACAACTGTGTGACCCACCAATATACTTACTAAATATCCCCCCCCCAAAAAAAAGCTTTAGCGGTTTAAGTCTTGAACAAGTCATGCTGTGGATTATAAAGGAAGGGAGTAATGGTCCTTAGGTTTTATGCTGGCTTCTGCTAGCTTCTGTCTCATTTTGCATTTTTCTCTTCCCTCCCTTCTGTATGTCCGAAATAGTTCTCTAACTAAGACTGCTGTGTTTCTATTAAATCTTTAAACCTCTGCAGGGCTCCCTTTTCTTTCTCCTTTCCCCTCAAAAAGAATAGCAGCCAGAACCCTGTCTAACTTGTTCTTGCATGTGACCTTCAGCCATTCTGCTGGCTGGGGGAGACCCCACACGGCACCCTGTGCTCACTGTTGTCACTATACTGCCCGTGCTGTGCTCTGCTCCAGTGTCTCTTTCCCACTGTGTGATGAGAGCAGGGGCTGGCAATTTCACTTTTGTGTCCCCAGCATGGTGCCAGGTGCATAAACAGGCCGTGGGAGTTTCAGTGTGCGATAAAAAGAAGATGTGGTATGTGGTTTCATTAAGCAGACCTCTTGCTTCCAGACTCCAGTAAAGAGCTGGAAGAGTTGCGGTCCGCCTTCACTCGTGCTTTGGAGTATCTGAAACAGGAGGTGGAAGAACGTAAGTGTGGCTCCGACCCCTGCTTTGTCCAGTTGTATTTCTTGCTCTGGGTTGAGGTGCCTTTTCAGACAAAGGCTCTTGGTCTCTAAATTACTTTCTGATTTTGATTAATTCTATTTTTAAAGGTTTCAATGAGAGTGGGGATCCAAGCTGCATGATCATGCAGAACTGGGCCAGGATCGAGGTAAATGTTTTTTGTCAAATCTGTTGGTTTCATCTGCCTTTGAAGGGCCTTTGTCTACTAGTGTGGCTGAATTTGAGTCAGAATCCCAGCTGATGGTCTAGGCCAGTGGTCGGCAAACTGCGGCTCACGAGCCACATGCGGCTCTTTCGCCCCTTGAGTGTGGCTCTTCCACAAAATACCGACTTCTGCGCATGGACCACGAAGTTTCAGTCGCACTGTACGTGCGCGCCCACACATGGTATTTTGTGGAAGAGCCAAACTCAAGGGGCTAAAGCGCCGCATGTGGCTCACGAGCCGCAGTTTGCCGGCCACTGGTCTAGGCTCTGTAGAGACCTGTGCTGTTTACCTAGCTTGGTGCACATTTGTTTATATCTTAGTGAAACTAATAGCTCCCAGGAAGAAGATGTGCCGCGAAGTCTGAATGCCAGGCATTCACTCATGTACTTCTTCTCTCCCTTGCCCAGTGTCTCATTCATGAGAGCGTATCAGGTGGGCACTGTTTGCCCAGGCACTTGACTGGGTGCTGGGGAAATGAGGTAGACATAGTTTCCTGCACTGGTAAGATTTAATCTAGTGTGGAAGACAGGTGATTTGACAAATAATCACAGGGTATCATGAGTTGAGTATTATTATTGGACCAAGGACCCCAAGGGGAGTAGGGCATGGAACCTGCCTGATTGCCAGCTCAGAGAATTGTAAAATTCCAGTATTTTATTCTCCGAGGGAGTCAGGCCAAATAAATACCTACCGGGCAGTGTGTGGATGGGTGTTCGTGTCACCATTTTCAAGATGAGGCACCTGAGGTTCAGAGAGATGAAGCAACTTGCCCAAGTCAGTAAGTGGGGGAGCTGGCATTTGCTTCCGGATTAAACTTTCTTTCTCAACACTGCCTCTCAGATTAACCCCTTATAGTTATTAAGTTTGATAAAAATAAAAAATAAGCAACTAGTCGGTACTGTTGTGCCCACGGGCTCCCACTCTTTGTTCTCAACAAGAGGCCCAGGCAGACACCTTGAGGCTTGTCACTGCAGAAAGGCGCATCTAGTCGGTACTGTTGTGCCCATGGGCTCCCACTCTTTGTTCTCAACAAGAGGCCTAAGCAGACACCTTGAGGCTTGTCACTGCAGAAAGGCTGACGTGGTTGGCCTGGGCCTGTTACCATGGAGGGCGCCTAGGGAATGTCAGGGATTTATGTCAGTGATCATTAGGGGATGGCTTTTTAGGCAGGTCTGTCTGAAGTCCGTTTTGGAAGGGGTGTTGGTGTCATAAGGTTCAGGTGCTTTCCTAACGGCCTTGTCATGCATCGTAGGCTCGACTGTGTAATAACATGCAGAAAGCTCGGGAGCTCTGGGACAGCATCATGACCAAAGGAAACGCCAAGTATGCCAACATGTGGCTTGAGTATTACAACCTGGAAAGGTAACGACCTGGGTGGGGTGATGGTGTGTTGTCAGGAGTAACTTGTCTTTAGTCCTGGCTGACCTCGGCTGGCTTGGGCTTGCTCCTTGCAATGGGCCACTGCCTGCCTTCATCGCTCTTTCTTTAATGGGCCAGGCTAGAGAACCTAGCACATAGTATTTTGTGTCTGGGCTGTTAGAGCGATTTGTTTCTTTTAAATTTTGGTGTGTTTTTCTTTTTTTGGTTGGTTTTGATTTTTGGACATGAATATTTTATTTGACTTTTTGGGGAGCTATTTATTTTTACTGTATCTGTTTTGTATAAAAAGTATAAAATACTAGAAAGCACAGAAGGAAAAAACCTAAATTATTTACAATTATGGACCCAGTAGTAACCACTATTAGTTAATTGTTTGGGTATATTCTTCAAGACTTTTCTGTGTAAAAAATGAAAATGCAATTGTAGTGCACCTGTTACAAACCTCTAAAATGATTTTACAGAAATAAGGTATGCCCAGTAATACTGATAACATGGGGAGGACATAAAGAATATGACCAGCTTTGTTCTTCAGTAGATCTTGAACATAGAAGTGAAAGTTTCCTATAATCCCACCCCCAGAGATGACACTATTAAAGCTTGTTGAATTTTCCTTCAGGTCAGAGGTTCTCAAACTTTGGTTTTAGAACCTGTTGGCACTCTAAAAGTTTGAGGAGCCTCCCTCCCGCAAGCTTTTGTTTATGTGAGTTATCTAGGACTCTAATATTTACCACATTAGAAAGTGAAAATGGTGTTCCATGAAAAAACTAGATTAGATTGTACCCAGACACCAACAGTGTTTACTCTGCTCCAACACTGTACCTGGGGTACAGAGGAGAGCTTTATGTGGAGGGTGCTGGAGCCGGAGCTGCTGGTCCTGTGGCTCTAACCTGTGAGCAGCTGCCCCTCCCTCCTCGTGTGCCTTCTGCTTCTGTCCTGGTGGCAGCCTGTTTGCTTTCTGCCCCAGGGCACACGGCGACACCCAGCACTGCAGGAAGGCTCTGCACCGGGCCGTCCAGTGCACCAGTGACTACCCAGAGCACGTCTGTGAAGTGCTGCTCACCATGGAGAGGACAGAAGGTAGGACCCTCGGCTCTGCTTCCGGCTTGGAGTCTGTAAGGACAGGCTGTGCACGGCTACCCCGTGAGTGGCGTGACTGTCACAGGGCGCTCCCATGAGATTGAATCCTCTGAGATCTCCAGATCCAAGGAGGCCCCTGCATTGTATAGTTCTAGCGTGGGTTCTCAGAATTCTTTGTAGGATCCTGTGCATCCTAGCATCTTTAGCAGCATCCCTGGCCTCTCTGCCCACTACTTGCCAGCACACCTCCCTGCCCCTAGTCGTGACAATAAAAAATGACTCCAGTTGATCCCTGGGGTCAGGATCACTCCACTTGAGACCCTCTGCTCCAGCATGTCATGCATGCCAAAGGAGCAGAGGCAAATGAGTAATGTGTGCATCACCTGCGAAGTTTAGAGCCTCAATATTGTGTCCAGTAGGAAAATAGAGAATTTATCCCTGGGCAGTGGTCTGGATTTTGGGTGGGAATCCCTCAGAACTTGAAATGGAACATCCAAACAACACATGACAAAACATTTCAACATTTATCATTTGAGATGCTCAAATGTCATAATATGTCTTATACCTTTTACATTGGAATGTTTTCATAATCTTTGCCAGGGAGTACCCGTAATAGGTCATATTCTGGTTTTCAAGTCTCTCCTGAAAATGAAGGGATGTTTGAATCACATCTTGGAAGGACTATTGGAATTCGAAAACTTTCAGTGAAATCACCTTAAAATGGGGAGCTGACTCTCTGAGGGGAGAGCTCTCCTGAGGGTAGGGAAATTAAGAAAAGCTTCCCAAACCCCAAAATGGAAAGCTTGCTTCTTTTTCTATCAAGGTACTTTAGAAGATTGGGATATAGCTGTCCAGAAAACCGAAACTCGATTAGCCCGTGTCAATGAGCAGAGAATTAAGGTAATGATGCTGTTTATTTGAAGTCTTGGGATCCTCTGATCGCTGTTCTGACCGTGTTTGCGATATTTTTTGTCAGAACCTTTGAGGTCTTTCTAAAACGTGTCTTTTGCTTAGAAAGTATTTATGATGACATAGTTGAATCAATATTTAAATCAGTCTTTTGTTATTTTTTAGAACAGTTTTAAACTTCAGCCCCAGCAGTAAATACTATTTTATGTAATAGGGGAATTTTGGCCCTAAAATTTACTAGAATAGAGGAAAAAACAGGAAGAGCCTCTTAGCCTAGTGGTTGGAATATGAACACCCCCAAGCTAATTAGGGCCCCAGTTTCTTAGGTTCTTTTCTTTCGCTTGGTGAATAATTACTGGGGCTATTGTGAGAAATACCGTGGATTTGAGAGGAATCCTGAGAGGCCGGAAAAGCCCTGGCAGGGAAGGTTGTGAGCACATTTTCCATGATCTCGTCCTGTCACTGGGTATGAATCCCACTCCCTGGCCCCTTTCGTCCATTCTCATTACAAGGTGGTGGAGTGTATGTCACTGCTGCGTCCAGTGATGCATCACATGCCCCTTTTCCAGGCTGCGGAGAAGGAAGCCACCCTCGCCCAGCAGGAAGAGGAGAAGGCTGAGCACCGGAAGAGGGCCCGGGCTGAGAAGAAAGCGCTGAAAAAGAAAGTAGCCAGAGGCGCAGAGAAGCGCAAAGCAGATGAGGATGCCGAGAAAGAGTGGGGCGGCGACGAAGAAGGTAAAGCTTTTCAGAAATTTTGCTTTGGAGCAACTCAACCTTCCAGAGAAGTTGCAAAAAACCCCAAAAAACAGTACAAAGAACTTTTTTTCTTGAACCATTTGAGAACAGGTGCTGGCGAGACACCCCATCACCCTTGCTGTCTCTGCCTACCTCTGTGCCAGGTACTGCCCTGCAAGGGACCTGCGCTCTACTGCCTCCACTGTGCCATTGCCTCCACTGCCCTCCTCTGTGGTGCCGTCCTCACCCCACGCTGTCCCTGCCCCTTGTGTTAACCTCCCCTTCTTTCTGCCCAGGGTGCAGTATCCCGTACCATTGCCTAGCCCAGTGGTTGGCAAACTGCGGCCCCTTGAGTGTGGCTCTTCCACAAAATACCACGTGTGGGTACGCACGTACAGTGCAATTGAAACTTCATGGCCACACTCAAGGGGCCAAAGAGCCGCATGTAGCTTGTGAGCCGCAGTTTCCCAACCACTGGCCTAGCCCACTGCACAGACACCTGCCTTCTTGCCCCCACCTGTGGTTTTGAGTTGGTAGAGTTTCAACCGGTGTTTCTGTCAGCCATGCCACTTCAGGAATGGGCAGGTGTGGGTCAGATTTATTTCAGCAAAGTCAGTCAAGGTAAAGAATTGTCTCCAGACATTAAGGAACTCTGTTCATTTTCCTGGTACAAAGCTGTCAGCCAGAGGGAAATGGGAATGGAGCCATCATTCAGTGGACCTTTCTTGCACACCTTTTTGGGGCCTTCAGAAATGACCACAGTAGCTCATTGCCCCTCAGAGTTCCTGGTTTAGCAGATAAGGCAAACATGCCATGTGACTGCAGTGGTGTGCAGTCAGGACTGTGGCAGGTTAGATGTGAATTATGGTGGAAGTCAAAGAAGACATGAGTGGGTCACCTCCAGCAAGAAAGAGTTCATGAGAGTGATGTGTGCACCTTGGCATCGCGAGTGGGAAAGAAGGGAAGCCAGACAGAGCTGGTGTCGGCACGAGGCACAAAACAGCCTGGCCTTCTCTCTGAGCAGCAAATGACTGGGTGTGTGCCCCGATGCATGCTGGAGGCCAGGTGCATGGGTGGTGAGGCTGCAGCAGCAGGCAGGCCAGCTGGCTGGGCCCCACTCAGGGATGCTCTTGAATACAGTGTGCAGGGTTAGACTTCATCAGGAAGCAGTGGGAACTTGGAAGGGTCTGGAAGTGGGGGTCCAATGCCAATGGGTTTCAGTGTTGCACCTCTGGAGAAAGTGGGGAGACCGGTTGGAGTAAAATGTTGTCTAACTCTCTTGAAGGACACAAGACAATAGTAAACCCTTTGTAGAGCTTTCCAGTGTGGCCATGTGAAGCACACACTTGAGAGTCACCTAAGTGCTTGTTTAAATGCAAGTCCCCAAGCCTTATCCTGGCTGACCTGAGCCTTAAGGGAGAGGGGCCTTGGATTGGCCAGCTGCACTTTTCAGACTCCCTGACCTTTCCTATAAGTAGACAGAGAGGACTTACTGTTTCTACTGGAGTGAGCCCACTCATCGCATGTCATCAGAGTCCAGCACGTGGTGGGACAAGCCTGTGGGCCCAGACAGACTTGGCAGGTGTGGTGCTTGCAGGTCAGCGGGGAGGAGAGTGTTGGTCACGTGCCGCTGCTGCAGCCTGGCTGGCTGCAGTGGGAAGAGTGCGAACATGGACCGGCTCAGTGAAGGGAGGAAAGTTAATTGTTGCTGCTTTTCTCCCGACAACCTGTAGAGCAGCCTTCCAAGCGCAGGAAGCTTGAGAACAGCGTTCCAGCAGCTGCAGAAGCAGCACCAGACCTGGAAGAGGAAATGGGGCTCTTTGGGAAAAGCGCATCTGCAGACGTCACCGCCCCCTCAAAGCAGAAGGAGAGGGCTGCCACCGCCCTGAAGAGGGACGTGCCCAAGGTGCCCCACGACAGCAGCAAGGACAGCGTCACCGTCTTTGTCAGCAACCTGCCCTACAGCATGGAGGAGCCGGACATGAAGCTGCAGCCGCTCTTTGAGGCCTGTGGGGAAGTGGCCGAGGTCCGCCCTATCTTCAGCAACCGGGGCGATTTCCGAGGCTACTGCTACGTGGAGTTCAAGGAGGAGAAGTCTGCCCTGCAGGCGCTGCAGTTGGACCGGAAGAATGTAGGCGGGAGGCCAATGTTCGTTTCCCCTTGTGTGGATAAGAGCAAAAATCCTGACTTTAAGGTATGTTTGTGGAAAAAAGAGTGGCTTTCATGCAGGGTTGCTATAGACTGACTAAATACTGTTTTTTGGTGCAGCAACTAATATTGCAAACATACATGGAATAACTGTACTGTTCTGAGCTGGTTAATTAAGGTCTGATTCATGGCTCAGTCACTTGGAGCTTGCATTAGCTGATACATGATCATAAAATGAGGAATTGTAATAGTGGCGGTGGTCCAGTGAGTGCATAGGAGTGACAAGGGACTGGGCTAAATGTTTCATGTATTACCTTAGGGCAGCGGTTCTCAACCTGTGGGTCGCGACCTCTTTGGGGGTCGAATGACACTTTCACAGCGGTCGCCTAAGACCATCGGAAAACACAAATATATAATTACATATTGTTTTTGTAATTACTATGCTTTATGTTCAATTTGTAACAATGAAAATACATCCTGCATATCAGATATTTACAATTTATAACAGTAGCAAAATTAGTTATGAAGTAGCAACGAAAATAATTTTATGGTTGGGGGTCACCACAACATGAGGAACTGTATTAAAAGGGTCGCAGCATTAGGAAGGTTGAGAACCACTGTCTTAGGGGATCCCCACCCAAACTCTGAGAATAGCTGCTGTCATTGTTGCCGTTCTGTAGAGGAGGGAAGTGGTCAGTGACATGCCCAGTTAGCAATTCCCAGCACCAGCGTCGGCTCTGTCTGCCGGCTGGGCCTCCGGAGAGTGGCCCGTGTGCTGGGCGGGGCTTCTAATGGTTGGTTCCCCTCCTTCCTTCCTAGGTGTTCAGGTACAGCACTGCCCTGGAGAAGCACAAGCTGTTTATCTCGGGCCTACCCTTCTCCTGCACTAAAGAGGAACTCGAAGAGATCTGTAAGGCTCATGGCACCGTGAAGGACATCAGGCTGGTTACCAACCGGGCTGGCAAACCAAAGGTCAGTGTCGGAGTGGACGGTCAGCACACCGCCTTCCAGGCTTGAAGGAAGCCAGTTCTGCGTCTGTGCAGAGATCACTGGGGTCTAGAGTGGGTTCCTAGTTTGTCTGCTGAGAAACAAATGACACATGAAGGATAGGTACATTAGGCTCTGCTTGCATTTGGAGTCTGTATCTAGTTGTACTAAAAATATAAGGCATTAAAAACACTCGCATGAATTCCAGACTGTGGGGCCTTGGGGTGAGGGGCTGCCCTCTGCAGTCTCCTTCCTGCCCAGACTCGGCCTCCAGCCATTTCCTCAGCTCCCTCCATCCCCTCTAGTTGCTTGTTAAATCCTCTTTGCACCACATTTTGAGCAGTGGACCCATGTTGTTTAAACATGAGTTTGTATTACCTTTCTTCTCTGCCCCCTCCCCCACTGCCCCCATCCAGGTTAATCATTACGTGGGAAAGTAAGCAATAAGGAGGGCACACAGACATGAGGCACACCTGGGCTGCTCCCTGGGCCAGGCCACCTCATCCGATAGCTGGATTTACACTGGCCTGTCGGTCTTCTTCTTTTGTTGGAGCAACCACAAGAGGTACTGACCTTACAAAGGTTATTGAAGTTACAGTCAGTTACGGAAGTGGGAAGAGTCGGGCAGGGAATAAACCTGTAGACGAAGGATGGCCGTGGTGGGGTAGGTCACCTATTGATGGGGTACCTGTCCTGACCCCCCAGCCTCAGGGAGGAAGTTGCGTCCTGGTTCCCCAGCATCTGACCTGGCTGAGGCCTCTTTCAGGGCCTGGCCTACGTGGAATACGAAAGTGAATCCCAGGCATCACAGGCTGTCATGAAGATGGATGGCATGACGATCAAAGAGAATGTCATTAAAGTGGCCATCAGCAACCCCCCTCAGAGGAAAGTTCCAGAGAAGCCAGAAGCAAGGAAAGGACCAGGTGGCCCCAACGTACCCCGGCAGACATATGGAGCGTAAGTGTTTGCATGCTAGCCGGTGCAGGCTTTGTCCCGTCAGACCCGGCTGGATTGGTTTCCCGTTAGGACAGACAGCCAGGGCCTGCTGTCCCCTGTAGTCCTGGAGCAGGGTGTCCAGATCATGTCCCTGCAGCACAACCCTTCCTGGTGTTGGCCAATTACACTTGTGATTTATTTAAAGGCCTCTTTGCCAGTTGAATCCATGTGTTTAAACACAGCCTGACAACCAGATGCTGGCCAGGGTCAGCTACAGACCAACCAGGGGCCACCAGTTCTTACTTGGAAAGGGTACATTCAGTGTCTGCTCTTCCAGGCGGGGGAAGGGGAGGACCCAGCTCTCTCTGCTGCCTCGCGCCCTGCACCGCCCCAGCACCACCGGAGCTCAGGCTGAGAATGGCCCTGCCCTGAAGCCAGCGGTCACCACCTCAGAGGCCACTGAGGCGCCCAAGATGTCCAATGCTGATTTTGCCAAGCTGCTTCTGAGAAAGTGAACGGGACTCAGAGAAGGGAGATGCCTTACTTCATGCTGGCCGGGAGGACACCATCTCCCAGCTGTACCCGGGTACGGAAGGGCCCAAGCAGCGCGGTTTCCCCTGGTGTAGACAGAAAGGGAACGGGTGTCCGAGCAGAGAGGCTTCACATGTTCCCTCACATTGAGGGTGGCAGCAGGAAAACAGTCACTCCATGGCTGGGCACCAGGTATAGTTTCTAAGGTATTTTTTGTCTTTAAGAGAAATGGGAGTGAAACTTGGACACACCATTTTGAGACACACTTGTCCAACTGTTTCAGCCAACTCAGGCCCCTTCTTATAAGACACTTCTCTTACACTCTGTATAGTCCATATGCCCGTCACTCTTTTAATTTTTAAAAGACAAAACGGCAAATGCTAGTAATACACCAGAATGGCCTATTTTAGTAAAGGGGTGGGGATAGGGCCAGTCACCTACAAAATATTTGGTGGGTTTTTGTTTTAGGGGCTGTGCGTTTTTATATTATGTATTTGTAAATGATATGTCAACCATTGTTTTATGTTTCCTCAAAGCAAAATATCTGACATTTGTTTTCTATAGGAATTCTGTGTGCCACCTGCTGTGGACCATTTCTTTGCCTAGTGAATAGTGGACTGTGTTGTTCTTTGTCTAAATACTGAGTTTCAGCCCTTGCGTTTTGTTTAAATACCATGTCAAGTGTGGACTTAAATTTTCCTCATTTAGCTTTGTTTATTAAACTGAAGTTCTCTTAAGAACCTCTCGCAGAATGGTATTCTGCTGTGCATTCAAATATGGGTGTGTTTTGAAATGTGTGTACCTTGCTTTACCTAACAGAAGTGTAAGTAGAACTTTTAAGTCAAAGTGACTGTGGTATTTGACTTACAAATCTTTTCAGCTGTGATGTGTCTTCAGCTTTAAACTTCATAAAGAATAGGGCGGAAGTCCTGACACAATCCCTCCTGCATCCTTCTGACAAATGGGACCATTTCTTGAAAAAGAACAAAGTCGTCTCAGGCATTTATGTAATACAATAAAATACTTTATTAGAATCAGTTATTTGTTAAAATAATATCCTTCACATATAGCTAAAGTGCCAGTTTCTATAGTAAAAGCAAGCACTTCCATCAGGCTTCCTTGGTGAGCTTATAAAATCATGACAATAGATTTAAGGTTAAGAAATACCTTATGGCAGCATACAAGTATGAAAATATTTTTATAAAGGTCTGAATAACTATCACATTGGGGCCATGTCATAATCTTTATACTTATTCTCCAGAAAACCATTCTGAATGTGCTTGTTAAACAAATAACTATAAACTAAACACCTGCTACATAAGAGCAGTGCCCTCATTACTACCAGGATCTGAATCCTCAAATCAAAGACAACATTATGTCCTCACCGACATTCAAAGTGCAGCACAGGGTTAGACATCATGGCTCTGCCCCTGGAACGGGAAGCAGAGGTTTCTGGCCATTCTCACTAATTAGCAGCAGTTTTATTGGCACCTGGGCCGTATGTGATTGAAAGAGAAGATTCTACTTCATAGAATGACAGCTTGCCCATATGACATAAAACATAGTTGTTAGGCAAGTCAGGCCACTCCAAGGCAATCTATTCTGCTTCCCCCAGGGGGACGCAGGGCGTACAGGGGCTGTGGGAAGTGGGGCAGGTGAACAAGTGCTGTGGTCAAAGGGATTTTGTGGTTTAGCACAAACTGGTGCCTCTAATTCACCATCGAGATGCTTTTTTGGTGTTGATGTGGCATCTGATTTAACATCTACCAATAGAAGACGTTAAACTCAGAAGGGTGAGGGCAGACTCGCCCGACTGCACAGTACCTGGTTGGCAGCAGGATTCAGCTGTTTGGTGAAAGCCCAGGGAACTTTCAGACTAACATCTGGTCTGAGTTGCTGCAAATGAAGTGAGAGAAACATCAACAGAAACACCAGGGTGGCCATTCCCCTATTAATTGGAAAAATAGTCTTAATATGGAAAAACACCCTGACACTAGAGTTTGCAAACTATGGCTCTTCCCTGAAATAAGCAAGGTGCCGAAATAGAAATGTCAACACTCGTTGCTTTTGTTTTGTATCTCAGAAGTTCGCCCTGCCAGTAAGAATTGGTCACAACACTAATCTTTGTAGGGAAGCAAACATCTCTAAGCAAGCAAGCTTTCAGTCATTTCTCAAAATGGGACCAGGTTTTCCCCGGGAGTGCTGACCTCCAGCCAGTCTCCGAGGAAGACCCGGCAGACTCGTCCTATGTCTCTGGACCTCGCCCCAGTGTTGGCCTCTCCTTACCTTAGTGCAAATTCTGCTCCAGAACTGGTCTGGTCATGCAAGGAGCACTGGTGCCCCAATGCCTGCTGGGACCACCACAAGAATGGGCCGCCAGCACAGATGGCAGACACATTTACTGGCTCAAAAGAAGAAAATAAATAACTTGGCTGAAATATAAGTTATCTTAGAGACAAGGCTTAATAACTTAGTTATTTTCTTTAACTAAAAAAAACATTTGGAGGTAAAGAACGTTTGAGTTCCTTATCTGTTTCCTTGTTTTTTGGAGACGGCAAGGTTTCTAGAAATGCTAAGTTTTGATTTTTTTTCTCCCCCTGGAAACCTCCTGTCACCAAGGGAAGATGGAGAGAGTTAAGGTTTCACAGGTAGCGTCTCCTTGAACCCAGAGTGATTGGGTTTGGCCTCTGGCAGGGCCACTGGGTACTCTGTTGTGGCAAAGAGCAGGGTGTCCAGGGTGGTCTCCGTACACTTGGCAATGAAGCGAATGAACGGCCTCACGTCGCCTTCATTGGCGACTTCCAGGACGTGGTAGTACTCGGACCTCTGCTCCTTGCGGATGGTGATGGGGGGGTAGCCCGCCTGCATTAGGATGAGGTTCATCAGCAGGCGTGAGGTCCTTCCGTTGCCGTCAATGAAAGGGTGGATGTAAACGAGTTTATAATGGGCCAAGGCTGCAAACTCCACTGGGTGCAGGTTCATAGCGTCCTCGGAGTTGAGCCACTGTATGAACTCTTGCATCTGCTTTTCCACATCTTGAGGATGGGGAGGGATGTGGTGTCCCACGAGGACCTGTGTTGTCCGAAACCTGCCGGCTTCCACGGGATCCACGTAACCCAGCACGCGCCTGTGGATCTCCAGTATGTCGCTGATGGTGACGGACCCCATGCGGGAAACCAACGTGGTGTTGACGTACTTCATTGCCGCGTGCATGCCAATGACCTCGTTCTGCTCCTCCAGGCTTTTCCCCGGCACCGCATAGCGGGTCTCCAGGATGTGCCTGATTTCCGAGAGGGTGAGGGTGTTGCCCTCGATGGCAACCGTGTGGTAGATGTGATGGTAGTACGTTTCCTCCATGACCCTCTGCAGCGCGGAGTTGCCCTTGGGGATGGACATGACCTTCCTCACTTTGTCGTCGATGATGCTGAAGTACCTCTGGTCGATTTCCTCCACCAGCGGCAGCGTCCGGTCCCGGCTGACCAGCGCTTTCTCGTGGTAGGGCGAGATGGTCAACGCTCTGGTGTACAAGTAGTCGGCCTGGATGATGTCCTTTTCCTCTTCTGAGAAGATGCCAAACTCGGTGAGCGCATCCACCGAGTCTGGGTCCATGCTCAGGGCGTGCAAGAAGAGCTTGTGGGCCTTCTTCCGCTTGCCCTGGCGTTTCATTTCCAGGGCTTGGTGCAGAGCTGCTTTGGCTTCCAACCTAGCGGCTAGAGAAGAGCCAAAGGAGCATTATCAGGGAGGGCAGGGAGTGGCCAAGGACAGAGGTGACCTGTCGAGAAGACATGGCCTTGGGGTTGTTCTAGGCAGGCTGCTCATGCCCAGTGCCACTGCACGTAATGGACCACTGCATGTATGGATGTGGTGGTTTTCCATTTGTCCCCAGAGCCATTCTCTGCACCCCAGGAGGTATCACCTGGCCCCCTGCCTTCCAACTGCCATATTGAGTGGCTGTGATCCTGGGGCCACAACTCCCATCACTGGGCTCTCCCTGCATCTTCTCCAGCTCTTGGCTGTTCTGGTGGTTCATCTGATGGTGCCTCCCCTGCCTCTAGGCCAGGCTGGGAATAACTCCCCACTGGTGCTAGCTCCCTAGGCCTCCCCATTCCTGGGCCCTTTAATTCCTTTAATCTTCAGCCACACCTGCTTGACATCTAGTCTTCCTTCCACTGTCCCCCAACGCCCCACTCCCCACCCTCCTGAAACCCAGTATCAGTATCAGCCACACACACCGGGCTTCTTTTAGTTCCTCAAGTGCCCCAGGCTCTCCTACCCTCTGGTCTCTGCTGGAGCACTCTCCCCTCACAACTGTTCCACTGGGTCACTCCTGCTTACACTTGGTCTCAGCTTAGGCACCTCCTCCTCCAGGGAGCCTTCCTGGTGTGCTCCTGTGACCCCTTCGCTCCCCCATCACCACATGGTGGCACTGTACCTGTCACCTGTCTGCTTATATAGGCTGGCTGGGAGGTCAGGGCTGACTTCTTCACCGTAATACCCGTGCCCTGCCCACAGGACATAGTAGACACTAAACATCTATCCCAGTGGGTCTCAACCTTGGCTGCACATTAGAATTACGTGGGAATCTTTTTAAAATCCTGATTTCTGGGCCTCAGGAGAGAGTAATGTCAGTATCAGGGGGAGTGAGGACTCCATTGCTTCTCCATTTTGTACCCCATTGTACAAAAAAACCACTGTAACTCAACAAAGGATCACCCACTCACACAAATGCACCTAAAAGATCCACGCACAGGAACATCTGAGGATGGGAAGTAGGGAGGTGGGACAGAGGAAGGACAGGGACGGAGACGAAGTTCAGTGTCCACTGTGGCTCCAGCGAGTGAGGTAGGTAGAGATGGAGAAGTGTGTGCAGCCTGCAGTGTAAGGGGCAGGGCAGGTTCCCTCCAGGAAAGGACATCTCCCTTCCCCGCTCCCCGTCTAGGCTAAGCCAGGTAGAGGCGGCTGGGAAATCTTAACACAGTGGTCCCCACAGCCTCTGCCAGGGGTTGCGGGTGGGTGAGTGGGCGGGGGGAGGGGGGGTGCGGACTGAGCTGTGAGGCCGCAAACTTGTCTCCCCTGCCCCAGACACCCTGGCAGAACCCGGGAAAGGAAGCTGGGAAATGAAAGTCCCGGCATCCCAACAATTTGGGGACAAGGCAGAAGTGCAGAGCGGGCGTCATCTACGCAGCATGGCACTGGCAGGAAAACACAGACCAATGGAGCCGGATTGAGAGTCCAGGAATAAGCCCACACATACAGGGTATCCCCCCAAAATATATACACACAACGTTTGTGATTCCATTACACTTTGAAAATGAAATGTGTTTTCATAAACACTGCCTTTATAATTATGCCAAGTGTGTATGCATTTGGGGGGACACCCTATATATATATATGGACAACTAATTTTTGTAAAAGGAGCCAAAACATACACTGGAGGGAAGGAAAGTCTCTTCAATAAATGACACTGGGAAGATTAGAAAGCCACATGCCAAAGAATGAAACTGCTATCTGAGACCACACACAAAACGTAACTGAAGTGGACTAAAGACTTGAATATAAGACCTGAAACAATAAAATACAGTCAAACCTCAGTTCTCGAATGTCTCTCATCTCGAATAATTTGGTTTCCAACCAGTTGTTCACAGAAAAAGCCTTGGTTTCCTACCTGACAACCCTTTCATGCTGATACCGCAGCATGCCAAAAACCATCTCTTAAGCAACGAAGGAGAGAATGCTTTTGTTGCTGGTGAAATGGATGATTAGCACAATTTCAAAACACAAAGAGGCCATCCACAGGGCTGATGTGTGAAAGTGCTCACAAAACAACAACCAGGCAATTGAATAGGTAGAAAAACTTGTGAACTGGATAAATGAGAAGCAGGTGGTAATAGCATTGTGGAGGCAGTGGTATAGTTTAAGGCTAGTAGGGGGTGATTTGATAAATTTAAGAAAGGTATTTACAGATTAAACAGTCCATTAGATATGTACTGTATATAAAAAAGGTAAAATGGAATCATTTGGGGATCTGGAACAGAGTAATTCAATTTACATTATTTCTAATGGGGAAAAATTCGGTTTTCGAACAACTCGCTTCTCTAGCACCTTCTGGAACTAAGTTCGAGAACAGAGGTTCCACTTATATACCAAAAATATGGGCACTAAACTTATAGACCTTGGTCTCAGGGGTTTCTGTGAACTTGACCCCAATGGAAAGGGAAGTAAAATCAAATAAAGTGAATGGTACTGCAGCAAACCGAAAAGCTGCACAGCAAAAGAAACCACAAAAAAAAGGCAACCAACCGAACGATATTTACAAATCACACCCCCAATAAGGGGCAAACATGCAAACTATATAAAGAACTCATACAATTCAACAACAACAAACACCTGGATTAAAACATGGGCAGAGGACCCGAATAGACGCTTTTCCAAGGAAGACATGAGAGAGCCAACAGATACATGAAAGGATGCTCAACATCACTAGTTATAAGGGAAACACAAATCAAAACTACAAGATACCATCTCACACCTGTTAACAGTGGCTATTACCAAAAAGAAGAAATAAAAGAGTTGTAGAGGGTGTGGAGAGGGAACCCTCTCCTGCTGGTGGGAACATAAGCTGGTGCCGCCACTATGGAAACCAGTATGGAAAGTCCTCAAAAAATTATGGATAGAGCTACCATATGACCCAGCAATCCCACTCCTGGGAATCAACCCCCAAAATTTGAAAACTTATTCATAAAGATAATTGTAGCCCTATGTTCACTGCTTCATTATTCACAACAGCCGAGACATGGAAACAGCCCAAGTGTCCATTGACGGATGAATGGGTAAAGATATGGTACATACATACAATACATACTTAACTGTAAAAAAGATGAAATATTGCCATTTGCCATGGCATGGATGGATCTTGAGAGTATCATGCTAAGTGACTATCAGATGGAAAAGGACAAGAACTGTATAAATTCACTCATGTGGGATATAAAACAAAAAGCAACAAATAAACAAAAACTCATGCAGACAACAGAATGGTGGTTCCCAAAGGGGCAGGGGTGGTGGGAGGACGAAGAGGGTGAAGGGGGTCAAATACATGGTGACAAAGAGAGACCAGACTGTGGGTGGGGAGCACACAACCGAATATACAGATGTCGTATCATTCATTGTACACCTGAAGTTTATGTTATTAACCAATGTTTCCCCAATAAATATAATTTAAAAGTGTGAACAACATAAATGATAACAGATAAATAAAACGTGGCACAATCCAAAAACACAAACAACCAAGAGCCGAGGAGACGGCCACTCTCTTACCTGGGGAGGACGCGGCATTGACCACCAGCAGGGCCGCGTCCTTGGAGGTGACGCTGAGTTCCGTGGATGGGCTGGTGCACCTGCTGACGGCATGCTGGGCCCGGTCCCACCTGCTTCTGAGCAGGGAGAAGCCTTTGAGCAAGGCCAAACACTGCTCCTCCATGGCCCCCAGTGGCAGCAGCAGGGCCAGCAGGGACCCCAGTGCCACGCTCAGCAGCATCACCCACAGGAAGCGGCCCCAGATGGGGACCCATTTTGGTTCAGCCACGGCCACCACTGACGCCATCGGCATGAGTGTCATCTGGACTCAGGGGCGTGCCCCTTGCACATACCCAGTCGTCGGAGAGAGAGCGAGCGAGCCGGATCTGAAAGGAACCAAGAGTTGTAGGAGATGAGGCAGGGGAGCCGATACGTTTAGGACATGTTCCTGTCTCTGCGAGGGCTTGGAGACCCCACACTTCTTAACTCACTATGACCAGGGGGTGGGGCAAGCAAGGAGTGGGTATAAATGGGGAGGGGCCAGTCTGAAAAGCAAGGCTGCAGTTGCCCAGCATTTATTAAGCACCTGCTGTGTGCCAAGCACGAAGGACCTACACATACCCCCCTGCCATCCACAACAGGAGCTGATGCTACTGTCACCCCCCTCTCCAGACGAGGAAACAGGCTCAGAGAGGTCAAGTGTCTCCTACCCGAAGTCACCCAGTGAGCCAGTGGCAGCCTTAGGGCTTGAACTCAGCACCCTGTGGCTCTAAAGTCTCCCCCCTCCATCGCAAATCCTTTTGTGCTGAGCCTCTAGGACAGTGGTTCTCAACCTTGGCTGCACATGAGAATCACCTGGGAATCTTTTTAAAATCCTGACTTCCGGGCCTTATCTCCGGAAATTCTGTTTCTTGGTTACTAATGTTGTGGCCCCACCCCATAACAAAGAAACAGAATTTCTGGAGGATGAGGCCCAGAAATCAGGATTTTTTTTTTACTGAGGTCCATCCTTTCCCATCAGCACAACTGTCTTGTGGCCTGATTTACTGCCGAATGGCGGGCCACACTTCTCCCCCTTACCCTGGTATTAGCCGCAATGCCAATCCCCTCTCTGTCCTGCCCGCCCCCAGAGACGGTGGGGTCCCCGCCTAGAGTTTGGGCAGCCAAGCATCTCAAAAAGAACTCAGGGTGAGGGCGAGAGCGAGTGACCCCTGGCCCTCTGTGCCAGGGGCTCGTGGTTGGGGCTGGCGTTGGGGCAGGGATGCAAGCGCCATGATGCCAACAATAAGCATTTATTGGGCAACTATGGGGAGCTGAGCACGGAGCTGAGCGCTAGCCATGCACGAGGCCACAAGCCTCAGTCCCTGGAGGAGGAAAGCTAGCCAGCTCCATTTTACAGAAGGAAACGGGCCACAGGCAGGGTAGGCCAACCCCCAGAAGGCCCACAGGGAGGGAGTACATCGAGGCACCGGGAACGGAGCCCAGGTGCGTCTGGGCGCAGGTGCCCGAGGCTTCCCCTCTCCCGTATCCGCCCCCAGGGCCTGTGCACCTGCCCCGGCTGCTCCCGGTGCTGGGCCTCCACGATGAAGGGGGCTCATTAGGTTTCCGATCGCTTCGGGCTGTGAGTCTAAGGGAGCAACCTGGCTCCATAACGGGACATCAGAAATGGCTTGGGACGCGCTCTAATGGGGGGACGCAGACGGCGTGGGTCCCTGCTTCGTCCGGGTGGTCTGCGCCCGCTCCCCGAGCGACGGGCTCCTCGGCGGGGCTGCAGTTCGCCGGGGACCCGGCTGAGCGCCAGGAGGTGGCTGTGCGCTCCCGGAGGCGCGCGTTTCTCACCCGCCACGACGCCAGGAAGGGGAAACCGAGGCCCGGAGAGGGAAGTGGACTGGACTACGGTCATTCTGGGGAGCCGCCGCTTTCCGAACCGCCCTCCCACCCTACCCCACCCCAGGGCTCTCGGCCCTGCCGCACCCTTCCCCGCTCCATCCCTCCCAGGCCCTCGGGCTCGCCCCTTCCTCACCGCGCACCTCGGCCAGGCACCACCACCACCGCCTCCTTCCCGGCGTTCTAAGGCTCCGCGGCGCGAACTCGTAGGACCTCCTCCGCCGCCGACCTTCTGGCTCCGCCCTCTCCGACTCGCCATTGGTCGGTCCGTCACGCTCCTCACCGCGGGTTGGCTCCCCTCCCTGTCCTGCCCCTCCCACTTCCGGGTTCTCGCGTTGACGTCGGCTTCCCGGGAAAGACTCGCCGTGGGCTACTCCCATTGGCTGGTTTCTGCGTAGCTCTTGAGCCCGCCGTAGCCAATCAACAACAGGAGAGGCGGGATCTGGGAGACTGCGCGAGCAGCAGGTGCAGAGAACGCCGCGGGGATGCGGGTTTGGGCACACTAGGTGCAGGTGCGGGAGCTCGGAAACTCGCAATCCCGCCCGCTTCTCCCCTGGCCTCAGTTTCCTTAGGTGTAACATGAGGATGCTGATGACTTGCACCGCTGCACCCTGCTAATCTGACTTCACAGCCCAGTTCTTATCCTCCACCTTGAGCTACCAGGATTAGCTTTTCCCCTTTCTCTCACCCTCTCCCCTTTCCTCCTTGACTTTTAAATTTGGATCCTCCAGAGGAGGGCCTGGCTGCTTGTTTTGCTTCCTAGAGAGACAGAGGATTTTTTCCCCTTCATGCAGAAGCTGAAACCTCCATTTTTTCTGAAACCTCCATCTCAACTCACAAATATTGAAACATCCAGGACCTGCCCAGTAATTCTAAGCATTAAGATGTTATGTCAACCCAGCTGGTGTGGCTCAGTGATCCAGAGCTGACCCATGAACCAGGAGATCACGGTTCAATTCCCGGTCAGGGCACAGACCCGGGTCAATCCCTAATAGGGGGCGTGCAGGAGACAGCTGATCCATGATTCTCTCTCATCTCCTCTCCCTTCCTCTCTGAAATCAATAAAAAAATATTTTTAAAAAAAGATGTTATGTCAATCGATATAGTCGTTGGTGCCAGTGCTAACAGGAGTCTCCAGTTTGGGCCCTGGTGAAGTGAGAGACGATGCAGTGAAAACAGCCCCGCGGTGACTGTGGGACAGCAGGCTGTGAGGTGGCCTAGCAGAGGCAGCCCCAGTTGGGCATCGCAGCCCCCATGGGACAACACTCCTCTCTGGTGAGCTAGCTTTGGTGTTACAGCTCAGCTCTGCCGTCAGGATCTGACCTCCTCTGCAACACACATTCCCTTCGGGGTGTCACCTTTGGAGTCGCACAGCCCTCACTTCAAACCCCATGTTTACCACTTGCAAACTGAGCACATTCAGCGAGTTGACCTGCTGATCCCAGTTTGCTTTTTGCAAGTTTGGGACAATGTGATGACAGGACAGCCTCCGGGGTTTCGTGTGAGGGTGAAGTGACAAGTGTCTGCTATTGCACTTGTTTCCTAGGGGAGGGCCTGCTGTATAAGCAGCTAAATGACGGGAAGTGGTTGGTGGAGTGGAAAGCAGTGAGGCTCTGGGGTCAGGCAGCTGTGTGTTCAAACGCAGGGCCCAGTACTTACTATGTCACAGGTCACTTATCCTCACTAAACTGGGTATTATGGAGCGTGTGGACCTATGTCCCCTCCTCCTGGGCATAAGATGATATAATTAATCATCTACCTTTATTATTTTTTAAAATATATTTTTATTGATTTTTACAGAGAGGAAGGGAGAGGGATAGAGAGTTAGAAACATAGATGAAAAAGAGATAGAAACATCAATGATGAGAGGGAATCACTTATCAGCTGCCTCCTGCATGCTCCCCACTTGGGATCAAGCCCGCAACCCGGCATGTGCCCTTACCTGGAATTGAACCCAGGACCCTTCAGTCCTCAGGCCGACGCTCTATTCACTGAGCAAAACCAGCTAGGGCAACCATCTACTTTTAAAGGTACCATCCTTTTTTCACTCCTTCTTGGGATGCCAGTGCAAACTCTTCAATGAGTTTAGGCCATGGTAACAAATCCAGAAGCTATGTGAGAACCATTAGTGAGCCACTAGGGAAAGGTGGGGAGTGTGGCAATGCGAAAGCACCTGTCTTGTTCAAAGTGGGCAGCAGCTTTTCAGCTCTAGCCCACATTTATTATGCTAGGATGCAGTCCAGAAATTGGCAGATTTTCCATTTTTTTTTTCAAAAGATGTGTCAGGCCTAGATCTTTCAGCAAAATCTCCAGATTTTTAAACAGTTGGCATGTTTACTTGCCGGCTACAGAGAGCTGCCAGATCCCTGCGTAAATGCTTTGAAAATGGGCAGAAAGCCAGCCCATGAGTCTGCTCACCTGACTGTGTTTCTGTAGGAATTTAGAGAAAGCTGGCAATAGAAAAGCCATGTTATGAGCCTTAAAGACACTGAAGTCATTAAGGTCCCTGAAAATAACTATAAGAAAAAAATAAAATGCCCTAGCTGGTTTGGCTCAGTGGATAGAGCGTCGGCCTGTGGACTGAGGGGTCCCAGGTTCGATTCCGGCCAAGGGCACATACCTGGGTGTCGGGCTCAATCCCCGGTGGGGGGTGTGCAGGAGGCAGCCAATCAGTGATTCTCTCTCATCATTGATGTTTCTATCTCTCCTTCTCCCATCCTCTCTGAAATCAATAAGGAAATATGTTTTAAAAAATAAAATAAAATGGGCAGGAAATGATGGCAGTGAACTCAGGAAGTAACGCCACAAATGACTCTGCAAATGACTGCACCACCGTCTTTGGACACCAGGGGGCAGTAACCCACCTGGCGTCACTTCCCCGGTTCAATCCCCATTGTCAGGAGAGCACACTCAATTTTCTTCCTGGACTTTTGTCTGCATTCAGCTGTGCTAAATGCACAAAATATGGTCCCTGAAGCGATATTGAAATGTTGTTTTTCTCCGTCTTAAGGATTCTGTGTTGGGTGGAAATTGCCTCCCCGAGGCCCACAGAGGCGCTTTCTAAAAGCTTACCTTGACACTTGACAAAGAACCTGGAAAGTGGCTGGACGGGAAATGTGTCCATTATGCAAAACCAAACAAAACCAAAACAACCCGGAGGCGTCTCTAAGAAACAGCTTGCAAGCACTTCTTGCTGGCAGGGGCAGATCCCAAGGCTTAGAAAACACAGAACTCCCCAACTTCAGGCTGGCTAGCATTGGGGTGGGGGCTGCAGAACGACTCGACTTCACTTCAAGGAAACACACCATCCTGGTTCTCGCTCCCTTCACCCCCAGGCTCCGCTGTTTCCCAGCCTGCTCGGATTCCCCCCTCATCCCCACCCGCCAACCTAAGAATGCAGCAGAGGAAGCGACTCTAGCAGCAGCCCTCCTCCCTGGCTGCTGACCCTCCTTATTAGGGATCCCCAGTGGGGTCAGGCCCAGGTTTTGAGGCACCTCCAAGAAACAGACTTTTGGGGACCCTGTGTGGGTGCCGCTGGCTGCTGGCTCATGCTCTGGACTCAGGATGTTCCACACAGGGGGCTTTTTGTTCCATTAAGCCCCCAATCCATTAAGATCTCAGACATGCACCTAAGTGGTGTTTTCAGAACAAGTCGTTTGCGGACGTGATATTTCTTGCTTTCAAAAAAAAAAACACACCCCAAAACGTAACTGCTGTTTTTTCTTGCTACATCACCACCAACTACTCTAGCCCTTAAAAGCAAGACGGATCATTATAGATCGAACGGAAGACACAAATAACAGGAAAAATACCCATGCACGGCTGTGCCAGATATTTTTCTATGGAATTATATGAAATACTTCAGACATACAGAAGGCACAGCTAATACAACGGGTACCTGTGTACCTGCCACCCAGTCAAAAAAACACACACCATATCGTCTTACCAACACCACCCCTTTCCCTATGACCTTCCCTACCCTCCCTCCCAGCGGTAACCGCCACCTTGAATTTGATGCTTATTCTATCCATGAGTGGCCTCTTGCTTTTACCCATATGCACATATTCCTAAATAATGTATAGCAATGTTCTGCATGTTTTCACCTGTTATATGTACACTATGTATCCTTCTGCAGTTTTTGGTGTGTGGGGGAGGGCAGCATTATGGTTTAGAGATTGATATCCATGGTAATATACTTAGTTCTGGCTCATTAACTTTACACTGCTGTGTAGTATTCCATTGAGAATCTATTTCCCATTTACCTACGGATGGGCATTGGGATCGGTTTCAGTCCTTCCCTATGACTTCTGCAGGCCTGAGGCGTGAGTGCCTGTGAGAACAGTGGGCGCCCAGTGGCTGACCGCCTTTCCCCTGGCTGGTGAATGAAAGCTTTCAGGGCCTGTCACTCTCACTGGCCAGAGACACTGCCTTCTCCTGCTGATAACAATGGTCCCGGAGACACGGAGACTGGCTCAGGTGCTCCCGATGCCCTCTAACATCGCGGCCTCTGAAGATGTGACCTGCGTGGCCATGGGGGGCTCAGGGTGGCCACTTGGCTGCCTGGAGCACAGCCCTCGAGGAGCCCTTTGTGCTCCCTCCTTCCCTCACCTTCTCAGACTTCCCTGCTCCAGGGCTGCAGGCGGCCCCTCCCGCAGGTCCATCGGCCAGGCGGCCAGGGCGCGGGGGGCCGCAGCATAGAGAGGCTGCACTGCACCCTGGGTCCAGATTGCAGTCCCTTTTGGACGAACCCCAGAAGCTCTCCGTGGCGCTTTCTGTTGCCATAGTAACGCCAGACAAGGAAATTAACGTGGGTGCTTGGCTAGCCAAGAAAGCCAAGCTTTTAATGGTGCTCCCCTCTCTTAAATAGGTAAGAATTCCTAGGAGGGCTTTGGAGAGACATCAAAGGGCCTTTTTTCAGGTGCTGAGAAATCGCTCTTTAAAAAAATTCTCCGAAGGGAGGGCGGCCCTAATCAGAGAGACGGTGGCGGCGGCTTTTGGGGAGCTTAGGAATCTGAGGACTCAGTTTAGAGCCAATGCAACTTTCTTCGTTTGCTAATAACAGCTTTCTCGAGATACCATTCGCACGGCACACAAGTCATTCATTGCCCGTGGACAATGCGATGGCTGTCACTACACTCGCCGAGTTGCGAAACCATCACCACAATCATTTTCATCGCCCCCAGGAGAAGCCCCATACCCTTTTGCAACCATTCCCCGTGTCTCCACCACCGTCCTCCCTCGGCCCCTGCGTGGATTTTTCCCGTCTATTTCCCGCCTGCATGGATTGCTCTGTTCTGGACATTTCCTGTGCACGGACTCATTCACTAGTGGGTCTTTCGTGACTGGCTGCTTTCAGCATTTCTAGTCTTGGCTTCCTTCAGGTCCTCCACGGCTCCTCCACAGACAACAGCTGGAAATGGAGGGGAGGGAGCTGGCTCCTTCAAGGCCTCCGAACCCGGCCCTTCCTCTTCCACCTCGAGCCTTCCAGCTGCTCCGAGGCGGTAGTGGGACCGTGGCCCCGGGGAGCATGGCTGGACACGTGTCATGCCAGCATGGCGACATGCTTCCCATGGAGGCGGGGGCGGGAGAACGCGGAGCACAGCCAGCCAGGGCCCCCAGTGCCGGGCCCCGCATCCCACGCTGAGACGATCGCCTTGTTTCAGACCTTTTCCTTTTCTTTTTCTGAGATTCACTGAAAAGCCGCCTCTTTTACTTCATGAAGACGTTTCTCCGAAGCTATCATCTGGGTCAGTTTCCTGGTTTTCAGCCATAAAAATGCATGTAGAAACGATCTCACTTTTCACCTCTGCTAGTCTACACATTTCCCTTGATTATTATTCTTATTTTTAATTCTCACCTGAGGATATGTTTCTTGATTTTAGAGAGAGAGGACAATGGAGGCAGAGAGAGAAAGAGCGAGAGAGAGAGAGAGAGAGAGAGAGAGAGAGAGAAACATTGATGTGGATGAGAGAGAGACACATGGATTGGTTGCCTCCTGTGCAAACCCCAACGAGGGACTGAACCCAAACCTAGACAGGCTTTGGGAAACACAGAGAATTCCCCGAAGGTGGTGAGCTGGGCTCCTGGCCCAGGGTGAGCATTTGATGAAGCCTTGCTATTATGTTTAGCCTGAGCAGCCAGAGAGACATGGGGTCCCCAGGTTGGAGGACCACCCCCGCTCCTCACCCCTGGAGCGGCGTCCCCCACCCCTTTGGGGCCAGGGAGCCGGAGACATCTTCTGGCTACTTCTGAGCGCTCGGGCCAGATGGCTGGACAGATCTGAACCCTGACAGTTGGAAAGAAGCTCTGGGGTCTGGAGAGAGATGTTCCCGGCCCACAGAGGCCCAGGGCACGCAGGGCCCGGACAGGCCTCAGCCATTATTTCTGGGCCCGGCAGGCGCTCCTGTGCAGGCGATGGCAGGCGTGCCGGCGGCCAGCTGTCCGCCGCGAATGCTCCGCTCTAGCTGGGCTCCCAGAACACGCCGCCCGCTGGCAGCGGACTTGCCCAGAGCCTGTACTGGCTGCGTTTTTGTTCTTGTTTAGTTATTACATTAAGTCTCCTGTGATTACAGAGCCGACAGCTGGTGAGGATTTGCATATGGCATGAAATTAAGTTAGTTCGTTTTAATGTCTAAACTGAGCAGGGCGCGATTTGTCTGGTGAAAGCTCCAGCTCCCTTATCTTCGCTGGCACATCTGCTCTGGGCACTGGCTCCTAATGTCTTCAAGTCTGATTTCTCCCGGCTTCACCCAGAGAGGACGGGGTCCCTCCCTCCCCCGAACGAGAAATCCAGAAGGGATTTTGCACTTGGAGCTGAGAATGCTCTCTTTCAAGTTTCAGGAGGAATTAAGACTCAAGGTTCTGCTGTGAAAAGACCAGCGCCCCTGTCTCTAGCTTTGTGTCTTGTCTTTGCTGTGTTGCCTTGGGCAAGTCACTGTCCCTCTCTGGGCCTCCATTCCCCAAACTGTCAAACGGGGACTTGGAAGTTGGTAAGCGCTCCTCTGTTGGGGTGTTTGTGACATCTGGAGTGGGGCACTTTTTCATTGAGTGGCCCTGCGTGAGGTATTGCATAGTGTTTAGCTTCCCTGGTCCTTGGGCATCGTATGCCAGCATCCTCCTCACCCCCCAAGCGCTGCCAATCAAATAACACCTCCTTACACTCCTTAATGCCTCTGTAATATCTCCGTCAGTGATAATAATAATAAAAATGCTCCAGCACCCTGCCTCGGGCCTGGTCACCTCTCACAGGGGACCTGCACCGTCCCCAGAGCGCCCTAGGGAATGGAGCAAAGGCTACCCTGTGTGTGACTGTCCCTTACTGGTTTGTCACAGGAACATTCCCAAATAAATCATTTTTACAAGTCTTACCTTAGGACCTGCTTCTAGAGAACACAACCCAAGGCAGCCACCAGGGGGCAGTATAAGCCAGAGTGTTGATGACCTCTGAACCAGATGATCTCACTGATGGATTGATTTATTCATTCAACACATCTTTGGTATCGAATATGCTGGGATGTCCTGGGAAGAGTGTTGTCCACGTCCTGTGTGACCTTGGGCAAGGCTCTCAGCCTCTCTGAGCCCCAATCTTTTCATTTGAGAAATGGAGGCAAAGATTCATCCCTCCACCCTGGGGCTTGTAAATTGGAAAATGATACACCATGTAAGGTGTATAGTTTTCTCTGGGTTGGGGATTTATTTATGTCGGGTCTTTTTCTACCTTTTATTTTATTATTATTATTTTAAAATATATGTTTTTACTGATTTTAGAGAGGCAGGGAGAGGGAGAGAGAGATAGAAATATCCATGAGAGAGAAACCAAGATGACGACATAGGTAAACACCG